ACACTAGGACAGCTCATGAAAGATTAACCTTCCTGGATAATTACTTTGTTTGTCATTTGTATTTGTCATCGGATTTGTGTTCATGTATAATTTGAACTCATCATTGTTTTTTGTATTCTAGTAATTGTTGATCAAGAATATAAAGTAGGGCGCTCCTACGTTCTTATCAACTTTTGTTGTCCTTTTAAGAAAAGTGTATCAATAAGAAAGTGGATTGAATATAATTTACGTACGCTATCCTAACATCAGCGAATTTAATGACTAAGTTTTTATTTTTAAAATAAAAAACAGAACAAGTTAAAATGAAATTGTTAGGCCTGCTATAAATGGTATATTATCTAAAATATTTTATATTGATGTTGATGAGGATTTATCACAAACTGTATTCACAAGCAAGGACGCGAATAATGTGAATCACATCTATTTTCATACTTCATATAATGTACGAGAGCGTCACGAGTTATTACACATTTTGCCTTTAGTGAAAAAAATTAGATAACCTTAAATTTATTTCACGTGATATATATGACAAATATTCAACATTCCCCTTTTTCCCCTATGAGTACATGAATGAGGTCATTGTTGTCTGTTTAGCTTTTCATTACATTAGAGGAATAGAAAATTATTTTGAAAAAGTAGGCAATCCATTTATTGTTATTGTCCATTTGGTTAATAAATTATCTGGGCTTTTCTATACACTATACTATATATATATATATATATATATAATGAAAAATTGTTCATAAATCATAAACAATATGGTTTATTCTCAAACTTCTTTAAAGGTAAGAAATTCACTATATTTATTACCCAAAATTTTAAGAAGAGTCACACGATTAATCATTTGTAAAAGGTACAATCATCATCAATATTAATTTTCTATGGTACTCACTACTCTGCATTCGTCCTATTTTATAAAACGTTTTATTTATAAAATTGCAAATACTAATAAAATCAATTAAATATAGCTTTGAATTTTAATTTTCCTGTGAACTTCGAAAAAAAACCCTTCATTTAATAAGGGGGAGAGAGAGAAATATATTTAAAGAGTGAAATAATGAGGAGTAATTTTGAAATATGTTTTATTAATGAAATCAATATTTTTCTCAAAACATCTTATCTTTAATTCACTATATGTGTATCTATGTATGTAAGGTAAGGGTTGGTATGCGTTTCTGCAATTCTGTGTTTAATTTCGAGGTATCTTCCTCATGATTTTGTGTTTCAAAGTCAAGTTCACATTCATGTTTGGAGGTAGGTTCAAGCTGATTTATTTTATGGATATATAATGATGAAAATGTTACCGATTACATATCTTTTATGTTTCTTGAACTATATTTAACTATTTAAAATTCAAATCTCCTCTTTTAAAAATGGGTCGCCAAATTAGTTTATGTTTGTTTATAATAATAAATAAAATAAATTCATTTATTTATTTAGATAGGTTCAGTTTTGAAAATAAAATAAAATAAGCATTGCCTAATATTTTGCAAATTATTATTTTTTGTTTATTATAATAAAAATAAATTATTTTAATTTTGACACAAGTTCGGATATGAAAATAAATTACAATGAATAGTGCCTAAGATTTATAAATTTTTAGATTATATAATTATTTTATCCTATATAATTAGGAGATAATATTGAATATAGTTTCTAAGATTGTTTACGTTGTTCTTATTAGTAAGTAATGCTATAAGTAATGTTTTGACTCATTGTATGAGAGTCAAGTGGATTTCATTAACTGTTTAAAATATTTGGGAGCTTTAAATGATATTTATGAAAAAAAATCTAATTAGAGCCTTCTAGTAGTATATTAAACTTAATGGACCATGTACCTTGAAATTAATTTTAATAAAAGGGTCATGTGTTTTTTTGTTTAAATGAATGCTTATTCTTGTTGAAGTCTTGATAAGTGAAAAGAAATGATGACAAGGTAATTTTAATCTTTAATACCTATGATTATGTATTTGCGTTGAAGAGTTAAGCTGAATACTATAAATAAAACACTCTTGAGAGGCAATACAAGCTCTCTAGCCCTTACTTTTTGATTTTCTTTTGTAGTTTAGTTAATTTTAGTAACATTATATGTGATCTTCTTGGTTTATAAGCTTGGATAAAAATATGGTGGAAGCTTTGGAGAAGCGGTATAAGTGGTAAAAGATTAATAAAAAATTCTAAGAGAATGGATATTTTCAGGAAAGTAAAACCATTTAAATTGCTTTTATAATTTTGGATTAGTATATAAAATTATTTTAACTTTATGAAGTGAGTGCAATTTTTGATAGTTTGATTCTCATAAAATGATTCTTTTTGGAAATTAATTTCACTTTAATTGAAAAATTTATCTGTAATTGATGAATAATGATTAAAGATTAATTTTAGAGTAGCTATGATGTTGTAGGAAAGTCTTAAGAAGTGAATATATCGGATTTTTGTTATCAAAAGTTCGAATTAATGTCGTGGTTCACAAAATTAGAAAATCAAAGAGAAATGTTTTGACAAAAAAAAAAGAAAAAAAACCAAAGAGAAGAAAGTCACGGCTTGGTGGCTTTATAATAAAAATAAAAATAAAATGAAACTTTTTTAACACAGTGCCGCGTTTTGCATATGGTTTTTTAAAGGAAAGACATAATCATCAATCTTTATAATTTCATCAATTTTCTTTTAATTCATGCAATTTTTTTAATATTTTCAGTTTTTATAATTTTAAAAAAATAGGGTAAAGTTTTTTTTTAATTCATATAATTTCATTTTTTAATATTTTAATTTTCATAAAGATTAAAAATATTACGAAAAATTATGAAAATTAAAAACAAAATCTAATGAAATTATAGAAATTAAAGGTTTTGTTTTTTTTTTAAAATAAAAAATTCATTTTTTGGCCCCAAGTCGCTCGCCATTGCGCCTCACCATCATTCTTCCTTCACGCCATTTGCTTCAGCCAACGACGACCACCTTAGCTACACTCCACTCGCCTTTACTGTCATCCTTCACATCCATTCCACTGTTCTATATCTTCACGCCGTCAGCCACTGTCCCTAAAGCTCTGTCCAAAATCATTCCTTCTTGCCAGCAAACACCATGGAGCTGCCAATCATTATTCATATCCTCACGTACAACTTCCTCCATTAATTCACCACCTTTTCCCCTCTCTACCTTCACCATATCGTAGCAGTCGGCTCAAGCACTATGCTTTTCGAATTCTTCCCTCAACGTTAGCAAATCCAACCACCACCGAGCCAACGTGTATTGGTCTCGCTTGCATCGCTAACCTACTGTCCTGAATCGGGCTCTTTCAAGCTTTTGAATCTGAATCGCATCAAGTTCAATCGTCCCTCTTTCTCTATTGAACCTCATCGATTTAATCCTTCTCGGATGCCATGAGCCTCGACTATGCGCGCAGCCCCATTAAGCTTCGAAGATTTATCCTCCCTCCTCCGTGTGCCAGTTACATTGCTTCATTGTGATCCCTCATGTCATTCTCTAATGGCAATCTCAAGGCTTCTCCACCTCCATTGCTAACACTTAACCCTTGTTCTGCCTCATGTGTGCTATTGTTCCACTCCACGCGTTCTTGAATGCTCCCTGTTAGTTAAGGTGCACTTTATTTTGCTGAGCCACTGATCTTATCTGCTTCATGGTAGCACAGAAATCACTACATTCAGTGATTATGATTTTGCTATTGGAGTGGGTCATTTAGTGAAGTCTGAAATTTAGAAGGTGCAATTTTTGATTTTGAGGGTCATTCATCTAGTCATTTTGGGCATTGGTTATGCAACTTGATTCTTGATTGTATTGACTAAACTGTGACTGAGGAATTTCTGGCATGATGCTCTGCCATATTCATTGAGAAATTTCTGATTCTTGGTAGTTTGCTTTGGGATGTAAATACTATTGCCAGTGAAAAGTTTCTGATGTGAGTTGGCTTTTGTTGAGGTGTTGGTGTTCTGATGGTAGTGTGTTAATTGTAGAATTTTATGCCCATGGCTTGCTGTTTGAGGATGAGGGAATCACATTTGTGGAAATTTTGTTCCCTGTGGTGACTTATTTTGCTGAGATGTTTGTTTTCATGTGCTTAAAATTTTCTCAATAGGCTCTAGAAATTTGAATTGGCTACTGAGTCTAACTTTTACCGTGAGTGTATGATACTGTGGTATGCTTGTGCTGCTTGATGCTTGATCCATGATCATAGAGTGCAAATTATAGTTTATCATGTTCTAAGCTACATTGATAACTTTAGCTAACGATATCTATCTTTAAGAGTTGAATGCTATTATTAATTAGACATTTCTAGTTTATCATTAGCTGTTGAGATTGGGGAATTTTTAGTTTTGGAGTATTGATAACTGGATATTGTTGGGCGCTTGTTTCAAGTTTAATCTTTTGAACAAAACTAAGTAGAGCTTGTCTTGGTGGATGCTCCAATACTTAAATTGGGCACATTGAATATGGTTGTTGGAAATTTGAAGTTATCTTAGGCATGTTTTGTAGGTTCTGTGCTCTAATTTGGGGGAAAAATGCAAATGTGTTGGGGGTAAATTTCTCATCCTCTTGAGGTTAAATGCCTGTGCAAGTGTGCAGTAACATGGAGAGAGAGCTAATACTAATATTAGTCTTGATTTAAGCACTGAGCATCACATTGACTGACTTCTTATTTTAATCTTTTGCTTTCTGTTTTGTTTGTAGTGTTAACTTGCTAGTTAGGTTTTTTTGGTAATAACCTAAAAAGTAAATTAAAATTAAAATTGATAAGGAATTCGAATTAAAATTTTTATATTTTAAAACATGTTTACCTATGTTTAATTGGCAGTTCAGTGGTAATTACTAGTGATGTCAATCCCAAGGTGCGGGGTTCAAATTCTCCCTCGCTTGAAAGAGGGATTTTATTTTCGTTTTTATCTGGCTTAAATTACCATAATGCCCTCTGGATTTTATTTTTTTTAAAGAGAAGCTTAATTTTTCTTTTCCTCCTACGTTCAGTGAGTAATCGGGAAAGACAGATTGAGTGAGGGGAGAGAGCTTCAAACCATAAACCCCTCTGCGTCTTCCCCGATCTCCCTTCTCAGCCTTCCTTTCCGACCATCGCCGGCGACCACGAGCGTGCTGGAGTTTTACTTTTCCTTCTCCGTTTGTGCGTCTGGATGGGTGCGTTGGATCACCTCTCCAAATCCAGTTTTCTCCTTCAGTACCATTCTCTTCCTCTTTCCATCGCCGGTGAGGTTGTGCACGGAGGAGTCTAGTGTTGCTGAGCGCCGTCGGCTTCTTCTTCTTCTTTCTTCGTTGCTGCAGTGACAGATTTCCCCCTCCCCTGTTCAGCATCGTGAGCTCTTTCCCTGTCCCGCCATGAGTAATCTGAGGTGAGGAGCTTCAAATCTTTCACATTGCCGATGTTCTGTGTGTTTGATGGTTGAGGCTATGGGTTTTCTTTTCTTTTTTCTTTTTTGTTTAGCTACCGTAAGTGATGTGGAGATGAGGATTTGGTGTTCATTGAGCTTAAATTAATTCTTGGAAAGGTGTTGAATTTGAGAAGCATGATAAATTTAAATATTAACAACTGAAAATTTTTGGAAGGTAGGATTTAAAGAGTAAGATGATTGTTTTATGGTTTAATTGTTGAATGCATGCAAGTTGTTTGATAAAATGTGTAAAAAGTGGATGTTGGTCCTTGGTGGCAAATAAGTGTGGTAAATTGATTGTTATTGACTAAATTATTATAGGAGGCAATTATTTTCTATAATAAAGATTGAAAATATAATTAGAGGATTTTTGGAAAGGGCATTTGGTTGATAATTCCAGGACCAAGTGGGTTGTTCTTATATTAGCTTTTGGGATGTCTATAAAGTGCTTGGTGAAGGAAGTAATGAAATTGGACATACATGAAGTGATAACGTTCTTGGAAGCTATGAAAACTGTTTATATACATATTGTAGTGGTAAAGGTTGGGCTATTAAAATAAATCGTTAAGCATATAAAATAGGTGGGCATGATGAGATTTTTTCAAGATTGATGGATTGCATTGTACGGTGTATATATTAACCTTGATGATATCTAAAGTTATGTCTTATGTGATGCATCAGGTATTCAGGTTGATGTTATAGATTATAATCTTTTCTATAGCTATTTTTTTTCCAATGGACATGAAAATTTAATGGTAAATGTGTTCATTGGATTACTGAGAGTTATTTTATAAATGACTTAAAGTTGTTAAGTTGATGCTTGAACGTCATAGTTATAAGGTGACTAATGATAAGTAAGTAGATAGACGGATTTCACCAATTGAATTATGCAAATCTTTGTAAAGTGTTAAAAACATTATGGAAGAATGATAATGGCATTGTTATGGGTATTTGGGAATTGAGGAGGGAGTTAAGAAGTCCTTCCAAATCATGAAAGCTGCTAAGTTGGAGTATGTTGTGCATTTGAGAATATATCAAGTAAGTGAATAACGTCTCAATGATTTATTAACAATTCTATTTTCTAAAAAAAAGAAAATATTGACAAAGCTTATTCATATGCTACCTCTTCCATGTATATGATTCTTTTAATGCTTTGACAACAAATGATAGTATATTTTAATTTATTCTTACTTTATGATTTATGATTTTAATGCTATTATCAACTATCATATACAAAAATATTTTTTTTATGCTTGATTTAAAAGGTGGGATTAAATTAGAACACTAGTTGCTAATGGCAGTTCCGTTAGCTCTTGGCACGCCATGATTAAATCCTAGCTAGCTTGGTATTTGTAAGCATTGCACTCATGCTTGTTATTCGTGGGTTTCATGCCTGCACTAGTTTTGTAGCTTATAGCCACGCTTGATTATTTTGTGGCTTTAAGCCGTGCTTGTTGGTTACTTATTCTTGTGCACTTTATATCCATGCTTTTATTCATTCTGATAAATTTTTGTTAAAGAATATTTTGAAATTACTATTTTGAAACTAATTCTATTAAACAAGTTGGTTTTCATGAATGGATTTTTACAATGAGTGATGCATTTGGTAACTATTTGATACAAACCTGGTAATTTGAAAGTGGAATTTGATTGTTGTGTTATCATCATATGATAATGTTTTTGGATTAAGTATTTAAATGAAATTATTTAAGTTATGCACTGCTGCTATTCTAAATTACTATTTTAGTTAAATTCATACTTATCCCATTCATATTTCATTCTTTTATTTCCTTTAATTTTAATTTCGGACATTATTCACTAGAGAAAGATGTTATTGGCCTCAAATAGTGTAATTGAACCTATATCTCATGGTGTTCATTGAGGAGTTTTAATGCTGAAATGGAGTGGAAGAATTATTTTAGGCAAAACTCATTTGAAATAAATTTTAGCTTTGTATTAATTCCATGGTTTGGTCCTAGATGCTCCATGTAGGCTACAGGTAGGTTCCTCATCTTTCTTATAAGATTGTATATTTGTTGGTAAGGAGTGGAGCTCCTTTGTTTGAAAAGTTGTTGTCCTTTGTTATTTTATAAAATTCGAAAGTCTTATTTTATGAGAGGTTTTGCCAAAATTTTTTATCCAAATTCTCAACTTATGTTTTCATGAAAAGTATTTTGAAAAAAATCCTATTTCTTCTATTAATGTGTTCATGGTGTAAAATTTGAAGTTTGTTAGAATTAAGGTTTAAGGGATACGAGTTTTATATGCTTATCTCATGCCAGTCACACCTTATTTTTCGGGGTGTGACATTTTTAGTACGTGTTAACTGGTGTGCTGGATGGAATATTTTGATAACCTTGTGCAGGACTGATTCTTATCTTTTTGTGGTTTATTGTTTTTGCTTAGACTGATTGCAACTAGTGATCATGTGGATAACTGACTGTTGCAACTAGTTAATTTTATAAAAGTATCTTTTCAATCATCTAACTCTAATACCATTAGTTTCATCATAATGTGTTAACATTTGATAATATTTTGTCAATATTTAAAAAATCTATGTAATTTTTTTTTTTATGTTGAAACTGTCGGTATTAAGGTTAAAAGACTGAAAAGACACTTTATAAAATTGAAGGATTAAAATGAAACATTGTGTAAAATTAAAGGATTAAAGGTATATTTTAACCTTTGATTTTCCAGCTAGGTTCTCTTCTTCATCGTGCTCTTCATTCTTCTGGGAATCCATATAAACAGTGAACCATTCAAGAGAGGCAGTGTCTCCAGTTCCTATTGGAAGTTTTGAAAAGCTAAGAAGCCACTCAAATGATTGAGACACCAAACCGTCTCTATTATGTCAAATCAACTCCAAAATTTCACCTTCAAGTGGGGGACGTTCTCTTTTCACCATTTTTATGATGCTCTACATTTGCTAATTTTAGAGTGCCATAACAGGTCCCATTGTGATTCAGATCGTGATTTGAGGTGTGAATTAGCAAATTCTGCAATTATCTAGCCCCATTCAACACAACGTGGTTTCCCTCTTTTCGTTAGGTCTTGATTTAATTTATAGTCCCTTTGTCGAAAATTGATGTTGAAAAGATTAAGAGTCAATGCCCATTTCTGTAAGAGTATGCAGGTTTTGTTCAGAATCCATTCTTTTGCAATTTGCTCAACTGCAGTCAATACACATGGGAGTAACAAAGTCTTGAATGATAATGGGTCTGACAATGAGACAGAATGGGAGAGATTGCTTAAACCTTTTGATCTTAAACAGCTCCGAAGGTCTCTTAACCGAATTAGTCCAGTTCAACTCTGTAAATTGCTGGAGCTCCCACTTGACATACCCACGTCAATGGAGATATTCGAATGGGCTGGTTCTCAGAGTGGTTATTGTCATTCCTTTGATGTATACTACATTTTATTTGACAAGCTTGGTGCAGCTGGGGAGTTTAAAACCATAGACAGGTTGTTATTGCAGATGAACGAAGAAAGAATTGTCTTTAAAGAATCACTTTTTCTTTTGATCATGAATTACTATGGAATAGCTGGGTTGCCTGGGCAAGCTACAAAGCTTTTGTTGGACATGAAGAGTGTTTATTCATGTGAGCCTACTTTTAGGACATACAATGTTGTATTAGATATACTAGTTTCTGGAAATTGCCCCAGAGTTGCACCGAATGTTTTCTATGACATGTTAAGTAGAGGAATTTCTCCTACCGTCAGCACGTTTGGAGTGGTGATGAAAGCATTTTGCATGATTAATGAGGTGGATTTAGCTTGCTCACTTCTAAGAGACATGGCAAAGCATGGCTGTGTTCCAAATTCAGTGATATACCAGACCTTGATACATGCACTTTCCAAAACTAATAGGGTTAACGAGGCTATGCAACTTTTAGGGGAGATGCTCTTGATGGGCTGTGCGCCAGACGTTCAAACCATCAATGATGTTATCCATGGTCTCTGCAGGGCCAAAAGGATTAATGAGGCAGAAAAATTGCTGAATCGAATGCTTTTTCGAGGTTTTACTGCTGATGCAATAACTTATGGTGTTCTAATTCATGGTTGGTGTATGATTGGTCAGGTTGAGGAAGCAAGGGCCTTGCTTAGCAAAATTCCTAACCCAAATAATGTGATCTATAATACATTAATTAATGGATATGTCTCAAACGGACGTTTTGATGAAGCCATGGACTTGCTGTACAATAACATGTTAATGGCAGGCCATGCACCTGATGTCTTCACATTTAATATATTGATCCGTGGACATTGCAAGAATGGGAATTTATTCTCAGCTTGTAAATGCTTTTATGATATGCGATCAGTAGGCATTGAACCTAATGTTATTACATACACTATATTAATCAATGCTTTCTGCAACGAAGGCCGATTAGAGGAAGCCATTAAAGTTGTAAATGAAATGTCAGTTAAGGGTCTCAGTTTAAACACGGTGGGACACAATTGCCTGATTTCTGCTTTGTTTAAACATGGGAAGGTGCAAGAAGCTTTACGAGTGTTTGCTGAGATGTCCAGCAAAGGATGTAAACCTGACATATATACATTTAATTCTGTAATATATGGTCTGTGTGAAGATAATAAGCTGGAAGAAGCCTTGCAGTTGTATCGTGACATGTTCTTGGAGGGGATCATTGCTAACACTGTAACATATAACATATTGATTCATGCATTTCTTGGGAAAGATTCAATTCAGCAAGGGCTCATTCTTGTTGACGAAATGCTATTTAGAGGATGCCCTTTGGACAATATTACCTACAATGGCCTTATCAAAGCTTTCTGCAAAGTGGGGGCTATTGAAAAAGGATGGAAATTGTTTGAGGAGATGCTTGGTAAAGGGATTTTTCCTAGCATCATCTCCTGCAATATTTTGATCAATGCCTTATGTAGAACTGGAAAAGTAAATGATGCCCTTCTATTTCTTCGGGATATCATTCATCGTGGATTGACACCAGATATAGTCACATATAACACCCTCATCAACGGTCTTTGCAGAATTGGTCGTGTTCAGGAGGCTCTAAACCTTTTTGACAGATTACAGGATGAAGGAATTCATCCTGATGCTATTACATATAACACATTGATAGGTAGGCACTGCAAGGAGGGTTTGTCTAATGACGCATGTTTACTTTTGTATAAAGGTGTGGAGAATGGGTTTATACCTAATGAGGTCACTTGGAACATATTGGTAAACAGTTTTGTAAAAGAAAGTAACAGGGGGAGTAAAGCCTTCTTTTAATATGGTAAATTTCCAAGCTTTTACCTCTTTGAAGACAATGTCTCATATACTGCTCTACATGCATTTCCACTTGATCTCATCTGAGTTGTCCGTGGGTACGCTGGATTTTAGCTGACTAGCTGTGGCTGATAAATTTGGTTCTACTTATTATTCTTGGTGATCCCGACTGTGTAGTTTATTACTGTGCATTATTATTAGAATTTTTTATTGCTTGTTGACAGATTACTGGTTTGTGTCTTCTCATGAAATTTTTTGGTGGCTGAAACATAAGCATTGATTTCTGCACATGGATTATTGGAGAAGAAGTTTGCTGGCTGGTTTTAAATGAAAGCCTTAGTGTTTTGCAATTCTTGCTGTAGGCTTCAGCCTCCAAATTGTATTTTATGTAAAATAACCTTACAAATTCAAGGTAATTAGTTCCTTTAACAATCTGGAACTTTGTAAAATTTATTTCTTTGCTGGCGAATGAGTTTGCAGATGTGTACATATCGTTAATAATGTTATTATTTTCCCTCTGTAAGCCTCTTTTTACTGCTATTTTGTTATTGCTTACTTCATGTAAACATACTTGTTTTTTTTTTTCCTTTCAAACCTTCACAATAACATTTAATTTCTCCTTAAAGGTGACTTAAAGCTTGAAAGGTTTGAAATTTTTCTTTGATTTTGCCTCATGCATTCATTTATCAACCCTGGGCATGGCAGACTCTTGCACAATCTCTGAAACTCTCATGACTGATGACACAACAGAGCTCCCCTTCAGTTTCTCACGCATCTTTGCACAATTGGGGTTTGGTTTATGATTTCTTCTCTAAAACGTATTCTTACTGAAGTGCTTGGTCGCTCGTTGATGTATTAAGTTAGAGTTGAAGTTGATCTCTGGTTTAACCAGACATGACATAAGATTCCCCCCCCTCCCGGCCCCAAATGTATGGCATGATGTCTAGTTTAACCAAGATAATGAAAAGTGAAAACTGAACATTGAACCAATTAAGATACTGGTTTAAGGATTAATGATTAAAATTGTGATCAAACTAGTTATAAATAAGATATTTTATTCAATTGGTCAAAATAATAATTTAATAGTTTATTGATTTAACCAAACAAACTAGCTTGGATTGTCATATTAAGAGTTTAACACACTCCCTCTCTCACCGCTACTCCGATATAATTGTATAACTGCTGTTAATGTAGTAATTGTCCACATGCATGGATATAACTGTTTCCCAAATCTCAACATTTTATTATGGCCCAAAAAAAAAAATCGCACATTTTGTATTATAAATTTATAATGTTTTGAAATCACTTTTTTATGCATTGATCTCAACCAAATGGGTGGTGACAGGTTTATTATGTATTTTCCTACCTATTAAATGCCCGCCCTTTATTTCTCCAATGTGCAAAACAATTTGAGGGATGATCAAAGTGTGCTCTTGAAACCATCGTTAATGTTAGAAATTAATAAAGGGAGTGGTACTAGGTAGGACAAAGGGAAAGATGGGGAAGGGAGAAATAGAAAGACAAAGGAAGAAAAGAGAATCTGGGAGATGCGATGGCAAATACTCAATGAGTATTCAATAATAATTATAAAGTTTGATATAAAATAGCACTAGGACTATTTGTATATCCCTAAATACAAATAATAAAATAATGATAATGATTTTTATCTAATTTCAATCTAAATAAGAGATTACCTGAATGACTTAATTTAAATAAGAGCAAAGGAACCATAATCATCTTGAAATGAAGAGTTTTCCAAAACAAAATAATCCTAATTACATTTCCCCTGTTTGAAAGAATTGTCCATGACAGAATCCAATCAAAGAACCACTGTCATAGCTATTTTTATTTAGATTTTCCAGGAGACCTTCCATCTTTGGCAAATCTGCGTCAGTTTTTATAACCACATTCAGGTTCTTAACAACCTCCTTAGCACGTCATCATCAACTTCCTGGTTTTCATTGCCTTGGTCAGATAATAATTCATTCTCTGTTGCATTAAGGACTTTCTTCCTCTCAAAAAGATCTAACAATTACTCTGCGGGGCACACAGTTTTGTCAGCAACATTGTTAGACCAATTGATTAGTTCAATGCCTATACCATTGTTGCTGCAATTCATTTCACTGTGAGTAATAGTTCTGTTTTCATTTTCTTCAACATGAGATAATTTTGGACAATCAACACTCAACTTTTTTCTCAATCTGTTTGTCATCACAATGACTAGAAAGGCAGAAACAACACATTCCACTCCTCTTGCCTCACTCATGGAGTCCTGTGACCGTTTTAATAGTTCTTGAACCTCACCATCTTCATGTTTATCATCCTCTTTGCCGTATTGCTCTATATCCATGACAATCGTTAAATACCGAGTTCCATTTAATTCACAATCTTAACCTTAAGAATCATCCACTTGCATATCATATCAGGTTTTATCTGGTCATCATTACTTACACCATATTTCTCTTTATCCATGGCGACAATTAAAGAATGAGTGCCATCTAATTCATAATTATAACCATAAGAATCATCCTCTAGCATATCAGCGATAAGTTTAATCTTGTCATGGTCACTTGCACCATCTTCAACCCTGCCTCGTGGATCTTATGGAAGGTCATTTGTGAGTTTCAACCTGCATCCCTTAGCATCATCCATATTTTCCTCATTACTTCTTGCAGAGTCCTTCAAGCAAGGACCCCTTGATTCTGCATTATCAACCATAGCTATGGCAACTGTTTCTGAAGGAACCTGCTTGTCACCTGAACAATCTTCACCGGTGCTCAACTCTGCTGAACATGTGGTTTTCACAGGAAGAGAAGCTGTCAATGCAAAAATTATCTTATCCCTGTAGTAACTTTCCACCCATTTGATCTGATATATTATGTGTTATTTTGGGTCTTCCCTGATTATTCGCATGACATGGTTCTGATTTAATGAATTCAGGATTAAGAAACTTCAGATTGCTACCTTTTGAAGACTTGACGGACTCAACATTTGAATTCTTATCTAATGATCCAACAGGACTAGTTATAGCTTCCTGTCATGTTTGCAGTCCTCATCTAACAGTTCTGATTTTACCATCCTAGCAGATAATCTAGTAGAAGGTTCGTCCAAAATGATGAAGCAGCTTGAATCAAGGGAACCTTCTTTTCTTGATCAGCACATCTGCAAGACCAACATTTGATAGAATCGATCCTCATGGAATGCTTAAATGTTTTGGATTAGGCGATTGAGTGTATAAAATAACCTTAACTACATTTCTCATCAGTAGGCTCTTCAAAATCGTTATATTGGACCTTTTAATCAGGGAAGGAGGTTACAGATATTTTAAAGGCAAGTATACTTTTGGTTGGACTTAAGACTCAACCTACGTAAACAATTGTTATATTCATGGTGGGTCCCCCCCCCCCTCAATTCAGAAAATCTTTTGGTACCTTTTTTACCTAGTTGAAGGCAATTATCTCATCAGCTCACACGGGGAAAATCATGAATATTTCTTCATAGGCATTCTGCACCATGTTTTCATGGACATTGACGCTTCTCTCCCTCCCTCCCTCTCTCTCTTTTTAATTGGGTACAATGCTCCTCTTTGTTTTCAATTGAACTAATGCAAAACTTAATTTCATGTATAATTGTGGCGACTCTTGCTGTTCTTTTTTGTTAGGTATGAAATAAAATTAATCAGGCTTGGGTGCCTGCTGGGGTGAGCAAAATTGTCCGCTGATAGTCAGGTCATCGTGTGGTGTTATTGCCGCTCCAGCTCTTGAACTAATGAACTTGCCTACTTCACAATTTCTTCCTATTCAAATTATAAGCATTTTTTTAATTAATCTTGATTCAAAATATAAACAATTTAATATTTATAAAAAAAATTCCTCATCTTATTCTTTGTATTTATTGATATTCTAATGTTTATGAACTTATGACATTATCCTAACTCATCATAAATTTGAAATTAAGGATAAAAAAGGAAATAATATATAATTTCATGGGAACATGGCTTTTATTGGCATGCTTACTGTTAAAAGATACTTATATTTTGGACTAGAGGGAGTGTAATTTATAATATGATATTGTCAAAATCTAATCCCTTTGATTGGAAGCACTCCCTATCTTAAAAAATATAAAACATTTTAAGTCTTTTAAAGTACAACTAATGACCTTTTTTCAAAAATACCCTTAATCAAAAGCTATAATTGATAATATTTTTTAATTAATATATCTTATTAAATAAAGATAAATATAAAAAAAGTGTGTAATTTTAAAGGCAATTAATTAATTTATTAGAAGTGTAATTCAAATGTAAGTCCCTTATAATTTTGAAGGGGTATATTAGAGATATGATAGTTATCTTACTGATTTTTGTATGCTTGATACTGCAAGTCATAATTGAAATTTGTCATTTACTGGGCCATTATGATGTTTAAGTTGAGAGGCAAAGGAACAAAAATAGTTACAAAATTTTTCTTTAGGAACGCTCAATATCATTAAGTGAAGAAAGATACTAGTTGATTAAGCCAATGCAAGAGTTACCAAACAATTGGTTGACTGTTTAAATGACACATCATCATACTATTGACCAATTTCATCTAAATTAGGACTGGGCAGACCAATTTCATCTTTAAGTGTTTTTTTCCCCTGCTATTTGTTTTCGTCTTCCATCACTGGTCTCAGATGTTGTGGTTTCTTATTTTTGAATTGATCGGCAAGTTTGACCTGATGTCATTATGGTCAGTTCTGGAATGTATAGTAACTGGTTAGTTGAGCACTCCTGTTTTACTCTTTAGACCAATGGTTATCGGATTTTCTGAATTGGTAGCTGAGAACTGAGATGAGTAATTCTTTCATCCAAAAAGCCTCTTTTCTTTAAGCTCCCTGGCAATCAAGTTCCAAACAAAATTTCAGAATACTTAGTGCTTTTGGAGAAAAAAGTTCCAAAGCAAATATACTCTTTAGGCTTTCTTCCAACACACATTTCTTCTATTTCAAAACTATTATCACTTTAAAATTTTGCATTCAAATAAAGAAAATATGAAATAATCTAGATTATAGAAAAGTGTGGCTGTATATAATTAAAATACCCTAATATTAACTAATCATTTTGAAAGATATGGTTGTCAAATAAACAATTTTAGTACATTACATACTCCTCCAGCTACCTTCTAGAAATTCTCTCTCTATTAAAAAATGTAAGGCATTTTTTGATAAGTTGGATGTTCAAAAATATAAGACATTTTTAGTCTTTTAATGTATAATCATTGTTTTTTTTCAAAAGTACCCTTATTGATAATGACTTTATATTTATTGTAGGGTATTTAATATGAGTAAATATGAAAAGATATGGTTAGTTTGAAAGTAAGTAACCACTTGATTGGGGGGTGAGATTCGGTTAAAAATATCTTATATTTTTTAAGGGAGGGAATATGTTTTTGATCCTTAATTACGTTTTTCTAATATTACTTCTATTTAAACTCATTAATTATGAAAGACAATATAATACAAATTTAAAATTTTTTTATTTAAATTGGGTAAAATTAAAAGTTTATTTTATTTTCAAACAATGTTAATAAATTTAATATCTCTTTTTGATTTCAGTAAAGTAGTTGAAAGTGCTTTACCATAAGGACTCGAGCTAGTAGTGTTTAATAAATAAATTGTATTATTTACAATTTGCGAATGAGTTATTTGCTAGTCAAATAGTTCCTCCATTTTTATATATAAAAGAAATTACTACTTACTGTTTTTTTTAATAAACAAAATTACATATCTCAATAAGCATTTTTCACAATTTTTCTAAATTATTCCTCATTAACTCATAATTTTCATTCATTAGAAACAATTAATATAGCCTTATTTTAATTAAATGATACTTTTTGAGTTGCAACACATGAAACACATTGTGAACACCTGACAATTGTGGCAGTAAGGCAATTCAATAGGCGATCAACCCGATCTTCTCCAAAATCTTGTATGGACCAATGAATTTAGGATTCAATTTTTTAACTCCAATTGACTTCTTGATTTTGGTTACTAGTGTAACCTTCAAGAGTATGTGGTTACCCACCAAGAATTCAAGTGATTGTCTATGCCTATCTCTCCCCCCCAACCTCCTTCCTATATATATGCAGCTAATAATCTCTGTCTATGCCATTGAAATCTCAAATCTCTCCTTTGTGTTGTGCTTTAACTACTAGCAGTAGTGGCTTATTCTCCATGAGGTATTTTAGTTCAGTTTTTTTTTTTTCAGATCCAATTATTATAATTAACTAATTTTTTAAATATGTGATACAGTTATTTATATATATATATATATATATAGAAAACGGAAGGAGTAAGTATTGAAGCGAGACATGCATGCTTTCATGGTTAAAGACAAGCTAATATAAACCCCCAATCAGTGAGGATAAACACTTGTCTTCAAATCCGAAGCGACTATTGATAGGACCAATACGAGCATTTATATGGTGAAGAAGGTGATAAAAATCATTATGATGTGTTATTATGTGAACAACACAATACAGCTATTGAAAAATCTCACAATAATTACTTAAAGAGCCGCACAACACTATGCAGTAAACAAGAAAGAGACAAGGAAAAAATTACAGAACAAGAAGGATATTTAATAGCATGAAGAAATTTCCAAGAGTGGGACTTGAGAATGAGAGGATATCAGAAGTCATCACGTGGTGTGGGGCCAAAACTAAAAGTTTATTTAAATGTGGGGGCACTAAAATTGATTTCAACCTTTTTTATAAGTAAAAATTTTTACATCTATAAAGAGTACTTTGAAGTCGCTCCATGCCCCACTTACATTCATTACTGGGGGGAAGAAGATTGCCATCAATGAGAAGATTGGCTTGAAAATCCTTATTCCATCTCTATTTATCATAACATCTTCTTAATTTCACTTATTCCACATCTCTTAGGCATATTCAAATAAGAAGCTGGCTCAATACTCCCTTTCTCATAGTCCTAGTTCTCATTAAGTCCATCCATCACACATGCATGATCATGATTTGATTGATGCTGGAGATGTTTCTATTAAAAACAAAAAGTCTGTTGGATTTATGTTTCCAAGAATTATTTGTTGTTTTTTGAAACAAAAATCATTTAGGTTGGATTTAAATGTTTTCAAAACTATTTTCGTTTTCTTTTTTTTTTTTTTATTCTCAATGCACACTACATTTGACCATCATAAATTATATTTAGCTATGACCAACCATTATCAGAGGCACTATCATTAAACACTAGCAGCCACCACTATTGACAAATTGGGTGTGATTTTTCTTTGTGGATGAACAAGTTAGGATTTAGGTGTTGAATATGAAAAAAAGAGTGATTTTTCCTTGTCTGATTTTTCCTTGCAGCCACCTGTAGGAAATGTTGAAGACAATACTGAATCAAACTCATCAGTCAACCTCGGAATTTCTGTACCTAATGACATGTGGACTGCTAGTTGCCAACTTGCCATGGCTGGCTGACCAATGAGAATATTGTTAATTTGTACATTTTGTAAATTTAATAGCAAGTTGTAAATGTGTTTTGCAAAATTGTAAATGTCACTTGTTCATATGTAAATACTCTTTGACAAGTTGTGAATGCAAAAATTTGAAACTTTGGAATATTTTGTAAATTTTATGAGAGGTCTTGACAATTAATTCTCTTATGTGAAATCTATATATAATTTTCAAAAAAAAATAGTTAATCCGTATATTTTGTTATTATTTAAAAACACCTCCTATGCTCAATTTGTACTCATTCACTCATTCTCCATCTTGGAATCATGGCGTCTAACTCCCAAAAGGCCCCTTTCACTCTTCCATTAGTAATCTTGTTTTGCATCTATGTGATGTTCTCTTCATCTCTTGTTGCTATTGAGGAAGCAAATGCTCTCTTAAAGTGAAAAACCAGTCTCGTAAATCCAAGCCAAATCATCTTGTCCTCATGGAATGGCACTGATCCTTGTAGTTACTGGAAAGGAATTACTTGTGATGAATCCATGTCCATCTCCACCATAAATCTCACAGGTATGGGAATACAAGGTATACTTCACAGTCTCAACTTCTCATCTTTCCCTAAACTCCAGGTTTTTGACATCAGTGACAATGAGTTTTATGGAAGTATTCCCAGCCAAATTGGTAACTTGTCTAGTATTCATACACTGTATATAGATCATAATTTCTTGAATGGTTTCATCCCTCCAGAAATAGGGGTGTTAACTACTCTAAATATGCTTGGAATTGGTGAGAATAATCTCAATGGGCTTATTCCCAAAGAAATTGGGAACTTAAGGAATCTGGAAATACTATCCTTTTACTCAAATCATTTGTCTGGTCCCATTCCTCCTGAAATTGGGAATCTCTATTCTCTCACCACATTGGTGTTGTCAACAAATAATTTGTATGGGCCAATACCACACTTCATTGGAAACTTCACAAATCTCGCTTTGTTAGACTTGTCAACCAATAGACTTACGGGATCAATCCTATCCTCTCTAGGAGACATGGTCAATTTACAAAACCTCTACCTTAGGAATAACTCTGATCTTTCTGGACCTATTCCTTGTGAATTTGAGAATCTCTATTCTCTCATTGAATTAGATTTTTCAGTAAACAATTTATATGGGCCAATACCATACTTCATTAGAAACTTCACAAATCTCACTTTGTTAGACTTATCGGCCAATAGACTTGTGGGATCTATCCCATCCTCTCTTGGAGACTTGATCAGTTTACAAAACCTCTACCTTGGGGATAACTCTTATCTTTCTGGGCCTATTCCTTGTGAATTCGAGAAGCTCTATTCTCTCATTAAATTGGATTTGTCAGTAAACAATTTGTCTGGGCCAATACTACACTTCATTGGAAACTTCACAAATCTCACTTTGTTAAGCTTGGAGGTCAACAAACTTTCAGGATCAATCCCATCCACTCTAGGAGACTTGGTCAGTTTACAAAACCTCTACCTTAGGAATAATGCTCTTTCTATGCTTATTCCATCTAACATAGGAAACTTGACTGAACTACAAATTCTTGATCTATCTCAAAATAGATTATATGGCCCAATACTATCCTTCTTTGGAAACCTCACAAAACTCATTGCATTGCAATTGGGGTACAACAAACTTTGGGGATCAATTCCATCTTCTATAGGAAACTTGGTCAATTTAGAAGACCTCTCCCTTGATAATAACTCTCTTTCTGGACAAATCCCAGCTACAATAGGAAACTTGAAACAACTCATGTTCCTAGGATTGACATGGAACAAATTCAATGGGAGCATTCCAAAAGAGATTAATAACATTTCAAACTTGAATAGCTTACAACTTAGTTAGAATGACTTAACTGGCCATTTACCAAAAAAGTTTTGTCTTGGAGGATCACTTGAATATATTGCTGCTTCTGCAAACAAATTCACCGATCCAATTCCAAAAACCTTGAAAAATTGCTCTAGCCTCATCAGACTCTTTCTTGATAATAACCAATTGGTTGGGAACATAAGTGATTTTGGTGTGCTTCCAAATTTGAAATACATTGATTTGAGTGGCAATAAATTGTATGGTCACATTTCATCATTATGGGGAAAGTGTCAAAACCTTGCAACACTTAAGATTTCCAACAACAATCTTTCTGGTCATATACCACCAAAATTGGGAGAGGCAACTAATCTCGGGAAACTCAATCTCTCTTCAAATCACTTGACAGGTGAAATTCCAAAAGAATTGGGAAAAATGGTCAAATTGACTAGACTTTCTTTGAGCAACAATCAACTTTTCGATCAGATTCCAAAAGAAATAGGATCATTGAATCAACTTAAAAAATTGGAATTGGCAGCAAACAATTTTACCAGCTCAATCCCAAAGAACTCAAGGGACTTTCCAAGTTATTTCTCTTGAACTTGAGCAAAAATAAATTTGAGGCAAGCATTCCTATTGAGTTTGGTCAGTTACAAGCTCTGGGATATCTTGACCTTAGTGAGAATATGTGTGTGTGGAGCAATACCGAAAACACTTGGAACATTAAAGATGTTAGAAATTTTAACATTTCACATAATAATCTCTCTGGCACCTTTCCGTCCAACACAGGTTTATGTGGTAATGTCACTGGCTTGGAGCTTTGTAACAAATATAACAATGACCCACAAGGTCATATAAACAAAACAGCAAAGCTATTAGTGTCATTGCTCGTTTGTTTCGTGACCATAATTCTGGTGGTGGGTGAAATTTCCTATATTCTGATTCAAAAATCAAAGAAAAGAAAAGGTCATGATGGAGAAGCAATAACTCTCAATCTTTTCTCTATTTTGGGTTTTGATGGAGAACTTTTGCGTGAAAAAGTTGTTGAGGCTACGGAGGATTTTGAAGACAAATATCTCATTAGAGTTGGAGCACAAGGAAGTGTATATAAAGCTGAAATACTTGACGGTCAATTTTTTGCTGTGAAGAAGCTTCATCCAAATTGTAACGCACATTTCTCTAATCTTAAAGCATTTTCAAGTGAAATTAAAGCATTGACAGAGATCAAACATCGCAATGTAGTGAAGTTACTTGCATTCTTTTCAAAACCACGTATATCATTTCTTGTTTACGAGTTCCTTGACAGTGGTAGCTTGGATCATATTTTAACAAATGAGATACAAGCATCTACACTTGATTGGGATAAGAGGGTAATTGTTATTAGAGGCGTGGTTGATGCATTATTCCACATGCACCATGGTCTCTCATGTCCTATAATTCATCGTGACATATCAAGCAAAAATATTTTGTTAGATTCAGAATATCAAGAAGCTCATATAACTGATTTTGGAGTAGCCAAGTTTCTAAAGCTTGACTCAAATAACACAACCTCATTTGTTGGCACCTATGGCTATACCGCTCCAGGTGAGGTCTCCTTTCTTTGTAATTAAAAACCATTGTTATTATTATATGAAATGTAATATAAATGCAACTATTCTCATAATATATCATGCTTGATGTAGAGATAGCTTTTACCATGCAAGCAAATGAGAAATGCGATGTTTATAGTTTTGGTGTTCTTACTTTAGAAATTCTAATGGGAAGACATCCAGGAGAGTTGATTTGTTCTTTGACAGAGATTCCATCCTATGATTTGCCATTTAAGGATGTGTTGGATCAACGACTTCCTCCACCCTCAAACTCAATTGTCAAGGAAGTAATGTTGATGGCAAAAATAGCACTTGCTTGCTTGAATGAAAATCCACAATGCCGTCCAACAATGGAACAAGTATATATGGAACTTGTAAGGCCTAAACCTTATTTAGCAAGCCAGTTTGACGACATCACACTAGGACAACTCATGAAAGATTAACCTTCCTGGATAATTCCTTTGCTTGTCCTTTGTATTTGTCGTTGCATTTGTGTTCATCTATAATTTGAACTCCTCTTTGTTATTTGTGTTCTGCAAGTGTTGTTGATCAAGAATATAAAGTAGGTTGCTCGTACATACTTATCCACTTTAGGTATCCTTTTAAGAAAAGTGTATCAATAAGAATGTGGATTGAGTATAATTTGTGTACTCTATCTTAACATCAACGAATTTAATAACTGAGTTTTTATTCTTATAACAAGAAAGCAAAACAAGTTAAAATGAAATTGTTAGGCCTACTAAAACTGTATTTACAAGCAACGACGTGGATAATGTGAATCACATCTATTTTCAAACTTCATAGAATGTATGAGAGCATAACAAGTTATTACACATTTTGTCTTTAGTGAAAAAAATTAGATAACCTTAAATTTATTTCATGTGATGTAAATTAAAAAAAATTCAATATTCCCTTTTCCCCTAAAAGTTCATGAATAAGGTCGTTGATGTCTGTTTAGCTTTTCATAACATTAGAGGAATAGAAAATTATTTTGAAAAAGGAGGCAATCTATTTATTATTATTATCCTTTTGGCTAATAAATTGTGGGGCATTAGCAGATATAGCTTATGTTATGAAATCAAACCAAAAAACAACTCAAAATTTATTATATTTTATATTATGATTGATTTATTATTATTTTTAATATTATACCATTTTATATCAATGATAAATCTCTTGTACATCAATGATAAGCCTTTTATATATTAACGTGAATTTTTTCGACCAATAGGCCAATTTATTCGAATTATCTGGGCTTTTCTATACACTATATATATATGAACAATTGTTCATAAATCATGAACAATATGGTTCATTATCAAACTTCTTTCAACGAAAGAAATTCACTACAGTTATTACCCAATTTTTTAAGAAGAGTCACACGATTAATCATTTGTAAATCCAAGTCAATATTAATTTTATACGGTACTCTGCATTCGTGCTATTCTATAAAACGTTTTTTTTTTATAAAACTGAAAAAACCAATAAAATCAATTAATATTTTTTTGAATTTTAAACCATATCTATAAACTTCATGAAAAATGATGAATTCCAATATTTTACTGAATTTATTGGTGTTTTTAATGTAATTGAAAGTCATCTCTTTGAATTATTAACAAAAATATAATTAAATGGATGATTATGTGTGTGAAAATAGATAAGCAAATATGATTAGAAGTTAGTAGACCAATTCTAACATTAATTCTAAGTTTAATACATGTAAGAAGACCCAATATATGAGTCCAAAGGTGAAAATTTCATAGTCCAAGTACAAGAAGATACATATAAAAAAAATTCTATACAGGTCATGCTCACCGAATGAGAATGTGTTTCATTGTAGAGAAACACAAATTTTACTAAGACATAGCTTTGATCTTCAGGGAATTTTAAAGGTTTGGAGACTCAATTTTCAACAGCATTCTTCATCTCAAATTCTCAATTCTCTCCTCTGCTTTCTTTGTCCAAAAGGCATAATTCCAAAGACAATATTCTTCTCACTTTTGTTTATTATTGATCCCCCCTTCCCTGCTTCCTGGATATACCCAGATATCTAATCATTCTCCTCATTATTAATTTTGCTTCTTTTTCTGCTACTTGTTTCGTCTTCCATATCACCGGTCTCAGATGTTGTGGTTTCTTATTTCTGAATTGATTGACAAGTTTGACCTGATGTCATTATTGATCAGTTGTTGAATATATAGTAACTGGTTAGTTAAGCACTCCTGTTTTACTCTTTGGACCACTGGTTATCTGTTTTTCTGAATTGGTGGCTGAGAACTGAGAAGAGTAATTCTTTCCTCGCGATTACTGATCTTTATTCAAACTTCAAAGTATTGATCGCTGGCATGCTCCCTCATGATAGGATGATAAGCTGAACAGAAATGTGCAAATTTTTGTCTCTTTATCCTAAGCTGAGCTGAGCCATGCAAGAGTTTCTGTCGGTTCATGATTCTTAATGACACAGAAGAATTAACTGTCTTGTTATGTGTTTTGTATGGGTTACCATATGTTGGTATCGGTTCCACTTTTCCCTTTTTTCAGTTTAGTATATATATTAAGAAAAGGTCATTAATAAAATATACTTTTATTTTTACCCTTAATTAATAATAATATAATTACGTTAAATACTTTTACACTAATCAAGAAAGAGTAAAATTAAAAAAATAGTTTAATTATTATAATGTGTCTTATATTTTATATCAACAATTACTTTTAAAAGATGTTTTGCAAATAGAATTGGAGGGAATAAGTCTAAAAACAAACTTTTAGGAATAATCAGTGCGTATTTAAAAAAAATCCATTTTTAGAAACTTAAAATTACATATCCTACTATTGATATTTAAAAATGTACTCTTTCCCATAGTATTTAATTTAGGGTAAAAATGGAAAGAAAACAATAATTTTTCATATCATATAGATTTTAGCATATACTTGGTTTATATGTTTTTCAAAATTAAGATTATTGAATATTTTGGAAAAAAATTTAATCAATGTAATTGTATTGCAGGCTTTGAATGTCAATATATTTTCAACTTTTTTATTAATTTATAGAAAAATTATGAGATTATTCATATATTCAAAAAATCATAAAAAATTATGTTATCTATAAAGTAAATAGTGTGACTTATATTATTCTTTATACAATACATAAGATAAGGGAGTAATTTGTGAGAAATTAAAGAAAAAGTATTTTAGTATACTTTTCTTCATTCATTAAAAAATAAAAAAAAGAAGGAAAATTCATTTTCACCCATTTCAAAGTCTATATCAAAAACAAAGGAAAAAAAAATTTCGATGATAAAACTTTTGAAGTGTCGTCCTATCAAAAAAATTTCAAAATCTGTTTTTCATATAATTAAAATTCACATTTTTCCTTAAGCATCAATTACGATTTGATTCTTATAAAAGTGTATAAAAAATATTACTTAAAAGAAGACAATTATTTAAATAATGCTCAAAATTCTCAGGAAATTAGTCTCAGAGTTACCTGCTGTGAGAATACCTTGAGCAACTAAAAAAAAAATTCTCAATCTTCATTGTCATAAAAAATTTCATCATCAATATAATTCTACCAACACACACTTCTTCCGTTTCAAAATAATTATCACATTAAAATTTTGCATAATAATAAAAAAATATGAAATAATCTAGATTATAGCAAAGTCTAACTGTATATAACTCAAACACCTTGATATTAAATAATCATTTTGAAATGAATGGATTGTCAAATAAACAATTTTCGTACTTTTTAGAAATTCTTTTGATCCCTAGCATAAGGTGCACCATGAGGTATTAATTACATTTTTAAATATTATTTTTTAAAAAATTTATTAATTATGAAAGAGACTGTAATACAAATTTAAATTTTTTTTAATTAAAATAAGAGTAAAATTTAAAGTTTATTCTCTTTAATTTTAATAAGATAGTTGAAAATATTTTATAATAGAAACTCAAGTGAGTATAGTTTAATAAATAAATTGTATTATTTACAATTTGCAAATGAGTATTTGCTAGTCAAATGCCCCCTCTGTTTTTACATACAAGAAAAACTACTACTTATTGCTTTTTTTTTTAATAAGCAAAATCACATACTCCCCCCTTTCTAGATATAAGAAGTTTCATTAATTATTTTTTTATTTCTAAATATAAGAGGTTATCATCATATTTTTTTTAAATAATGAACCATTTTACCCTTATTATATTGGAAAGAAAAAAGAAAAGTATTCATAAATTTAATTTTCAAAAAAATTATTTTTATTTACAATAATTAGAAAAAAAATTATAATATTACAGTGCTTTAAATAAATAACTAACTTTTATTCATTTGCGTAATTCAATTAAAAACATCTTATTTATAGAGATAAAAGGGGTATCTCAATAAGCATTTATTATAATTTTTCTAAATTTCTCCTTAAATTCATAATTTTCATTTATGAGAAACAATTTTTATTTTGATTAAATGCAAGAGTATTTTAATCCAACTTCTTTATTTTCAGACTCAATTATTATATAGTTAATTAATTTTTTTGAAAATGTATGACAAAGATAAAATCTTACGTGTTAGTAAATCTTATTAAATATAAAATATAAACTTTTAAAAATATTCATCATTTAATATATTAAAAAAAGAAAATGGATGAAAATTAATTATAAAAAAATAATATTAAAATTATATATTTAATAAAACTTTATATATTTAAAGTGTTTTATATTGTAAAATAATATTTTTTTAAAAAATATTTTATAATTAAGATGAAAAAAGTATTATATAAAAATAAAGATTATGAGTGTTGAAGCGCGTTAAAGATACGGTAATAAACACTTGTCTTCGGATCCAAGCGACTATTGATAGTAGCAATGCGAGCATTTATACGCTGAAGGTGAGAAAAATCATAGCGATATGTTATGATCTGAACCACACAATACAGCTACTGAAAAATCTCACAATAATTACTTACAACGCCATGCGATAACAGAAGAGACAACACTAACTGACAAAGGAAGGAATTACAGAACAAGAAGGATATATAATAACATAAAAAATGAAAAATTATTTTAAAGTCCCACACAATAAATAAAAAATACTCTAAAATCTCACAAATTACATAAATTATTTTGAGGTTCCAAAGTTCTTAGATGCAATTAACTTTTATATACATTAATTTATTCAAATATCCTCCTCCCTCCCTCCCTCCCTCACCATCACAATTCCACTGCCGTCTTTTCTCCTAAGGCATGTTTGAATTTGTGTTCAAACAATTAATTGCACGGAAATTCTTATTTTGACAAAAATTACACAAACACCTATATTATATGTTAAAATTAATTATAAATCTAAAATTATATTTTCTTAAAAACATATAAATATCCATTATACATGCTAAAATTAATTATGATTCAAAAGTATGGTTTTTAAAAATATCCAAACACTTCTTATTATGTCAAAATCAATTATGAACTAAAAAATATGATTGTAAAATACTCTTCTATTTTAAATTATATGGCACTTTGGAGAATTTTTTTATCCTAAAATATAAGACACTTTAAATATATTAAGGTTTTATTAAATAC